ATAAGTGGATGACAGCTGGTCTAATATATATATAAGTGGATGACAGCTGATCTGATATATATATAACTGGAAGATAGCTGATCTGCTATATATATAAGTAGATGACAGTCAATCTGATATATATATATAAGTGGATAACAGTCGGTTTGATATATATATAAGTGGATAACAGTCGGTTTGATATATATATAAGTGGATGACAGCCAGTTTGATATATATATAAGTGGATAACAGTCGGTTTGATATATATATAAGTGGATGACAGCCGGTTTGATATATATATAAGTGGATGACAGCTGATCTGCTATATATATAAGTAGATGACAGCCAATTTGATATATATATAAGCTGATTATAGCTGATCTGCTATATATATAAGTAGATGACAGCCAATTTGCTATATATATAAGTGGATGATAGCTGATCTGCTATATATATAAGTGGATGACAGCCAATCTAATATATATATATAAGCTAATTATAGCTGATCTAATATATATATAAACTGATTATAGTCAATTTGATATATATACAAGCCGATATTAGATAATTTAATATATATATAAGCTGATTGTAACTGATCCAATATATATACATACTGATTATAATCAATTTAATATATATATAAGCTGATAGCACCTGATCTGATATATATATAAACTAGTGATAATCAATTTAATATATCTATATATTGATAATGGCTAATTACATACTTATATAAGCTGACAAAACTAATATACTATATATATATAAACTATTGATAGTCATTTTAATATATCTATAAGTTGATCATAGCTAACATAGTATATATATAAGCAGATAATAACTAATCTAATATATATGTAAGCTGATTATAACTCATATGCTATATATATAAGTTGATGATAGCTGATCTGATATATATATATATACTTATAACAGCTGATTCAATATATATATAGACTGATAATAGCCAATTTGCAATATATATAAATTAATAACAGTCAATTTAATATATATATAAATCAATGATTACTAATTTGCTATATATATAAACTAATAATAAATAATCTAATATATATATATAGACTGATCATAATCAAGCTGCTATATATAAAAATGAATAATAACCAATATAACTTATATATAAACTTATAACATCAGATTTACTACTTATATATATTAATAACATTTTATCTATCTCTGATATTAGTCAATAGCATTAGATCTATCACATTATATATATTCACACTTGTCAATATCCAAGTCATATCTGATCATCTCGTTAAATACAAGTTACATACTCTAATCATATTTAATCTTTCATTTTTTATATATTCACAACTCTTTTATAATCTTTCTATATATATATATAATATGAATATATCATAAATATAATACATATTAATAAATTGACTTGTTCATATATGTTTTTATAGATCTATATAATAAGATTTTGATTTTTATAAGAAAATTAGTAAAAAAAATGAAAATTAATTTTTATTAATTTTGTACTTGTTCTTTACATGTTTTGATACTTCTATATGATATGACTAAATTGTTTTTATATGGCAAAATTTTTTAAAAAATTATTACTTAGTAAGAATTTGAACTTTCATTAGAAGAGATATATTTAATTATTGTCGGAACGGCTTTTTGATAGTTTAAGATTAAATGTTTTTCTATGCCAAGCTTTTACATAGTTGCTATTTATATAACCTATCTTCTCACACTAAAAATGCCAAGACTTCTCACGCTAGGTACATTCAGACTAACCAAAAAAGGAAATTTTTTGCGAAAAAAGCTATTCTTTGTCATTTTTTCCCACGAATTCAATTGTATTGTTTATGTAGATCATTTATGCAAGATTATGCATGATTATGCACGTTATATAACAAGTATAGCCAAAAGTTACCAATTTTTTTCAGCAATGCAATTGTATTGTTTACATTATGCGAATATGCATAATGACGTATGTTACACAAACTTTATTTTGTATATTTTTATATATGTTTAAATTCTTTTATATGTGCCTATATATAATTATGCAAGATTATGCAAGATTATGTAAGCTGAGAACAACTAATTGACACTATATATAAACGAATTATAGCTGATCTCATATATATATAAGCTGTTGATCACCGATCTGGCATATATATAAGCTGTTGTTTGCTAATCTGGCATATATATAAGCTGTTGATCACCGACCTGGCATATATATAAGCTGTTAATTGCCAATCTGGTATATATATAAGCTGTTGATCACCGATCTGGCATATATATAAGCTGTTGATTGCCAATCTGGCATATATATAAGCTGTTGAACGCCGATCTAGCATATATATAAGCTGTTGATTGCCAATCTGGCATATATATAAGCTGTTGACCGCCAATCTGGCATATATATAAGCTGTTGACCACCAATCTGGCATATATATAAGCTGTTGACTGCCAATCTAGCATATATATAAGCTGTTAACCACCAATCTAGCATATATATAAGCTGTTGATCACTAATCTGACATATATATAAGCTGTTGATCGCCAATCTGACATATATATAAGCTGTTGATCACTAATCTGGCATATATATAAGCTGTTGATTGCCGATCTGACATATATATAAGCTGTTGATTGCCAATCTGACATATATATAAGCTGTTGATCACTAATCTGGCATATATATAAGCTGTTGATTGCCGATCTGACATA